AAGCGCATTTGTCGGTGGATCTCGGAATGAACCATCCCTGCGCGGCTAACTTGTCGTTCAAAGATTGCACTTCGGTGGCGTTTCTGGGGGATGCCAAAGTCTAAGTGCAGAGTGGTTGATGCAGGGTCCTTTTAGGCGGAGCGTGATACTGTGGGGAGAGGTTGTTTTTCCAAGAACGTCAGTTCTGCTCTTGCTGGCGGGTCTTGTTCGCGGGATTGTGGAGCCGCTTGCCTGGTTGCCTGTCGATCTGTAGGCGGCGGGGGTATTATTGTTGGCGGCTCCGACGTTGTCACGGGGGTTTCTTTGTTCATCATCAGGGAGATCACTTGATTCATTTTTGCCTGCATATCCGCGATGACATCGTTTTGCATGGCCATTTGCTGGCGGACCTCCTTGGCCGTCAAATCTGGCTCTTCTTCTTCTATTAAGACCGCGTTGAGGTTGCTAGCTTCCGCGAACAATCTTGGGTTCGTCATCGCCTTGATTGGCGTGCTTCATTGGGAGTGTTAGGATTTTGTTCCGCCATCGTGACTTTCTTTCCTATTGCTTCTCTACTCAGGCCCCACGGTGGGCGCCAATTGTTTGAGTTTGGCTGAGAGTAGGAGTGAGACTTGAGTAAAAGGGGGGGACGAGAAGAGTAAGCAACATGACCCTCTTTCCTTCCACTGAAATGAGATTACAAACAGTTGCGATCGGGAGAGAGGAGGTCTTAGAGAGAGAAGTTGATATTATAGAGTGAGAGAGTAAAAATGTGATCCCCTCATCCACTAGAGTAAATGTCGTATTTATAGGCTACATTGTGGTGACTACTGAATTTGTCAGACACTTAGGCCATGACTATGCCTAGGGCTAGACACTTAGGCCTTGATTATACCTAGGGCTAGGATGTGGCCGTTCTTTAGGGAATACGATGTCGTTTCTTGCCTTCTTGATCTGGCCTGAGTTGAGCAAAACGACACCATTTGGCGCCTTGATACTTGTGGGCGCGTCCCGTCTTGCGGAACCCAATCCGCGAGTGTAGTCCTTTCCGCGGTTGTGGTCTTTCCGCGAGTTGCTCCTTGCCGTGAGCGCGATGGTGCTAGCGCGAGTGGTTCTTCTGGGGGTGGCACTGGACTAACTTATTGGCACGACTAGACCTGAGCCATACCCCCAACAGTTTCCTTTTGCTCAAGATTTAAGTTTTCTTTAACGTTTTGATATGACGAGGCTGAGGGGTTAAATAGGGGTTAAAACTGATAAATCTTAATCGGAAGATAGAGAGAAGCAATATGGTATAAGACTCTATCCACTTATCTCGACAACTTCTCAACAAAAATAGCCCCTTGACCTACTAAAGGTCTAAAACAACTAACACGATCATCCGCTTGACTGTTGAGTAAACCAAACTACTTTTAATCTTTTTTTTGGGGGGCTAATACCACTAGAAATACCAACCTTTACCGAAAGTGCCATTTATATTATCAAACTTTCGATATGACAATTGTATACCAACCGTTAAGTTTTCCGTTAGGGGCTAACAGAAAATATAGTCAGCGATTACATGGCAGCTGGCGTGTAAAGTTTTCATAAAAAATAATGTAAAATAATAAATGTAAAATATCATCGCCTTCCCTGATCCCTCACTCTCTTTCTCAAGACCGTCGACGTTTCAATCTCCAGATAATGACTCACTTGCCGGCCGCCATCTTCATCAAACCCTCGCCGTCTCTTCACTAGGTAACAACTCTTCTCCCGACAATGACTATTTTGTAAGCTAAGATTCCTCTCCAACAAAGGCGGAGCCAAGCAGTGGCAATGGCAATGGCGGAGGATGAGAGGGAGGGATTTTTGTGGAAGAGTGGCGGTGTCGATGCCGATTGAGAAGTAGATCTGCCGATTAGATTTTCCCTCGCTACCGGTGATCCAAAACCCAATTGATTGCAGAATACACCAACCCTCTACTCATCAACGAGAACAAGTAGAAGTTCCCTCTGCTCCAAGGACGAATCCGCCCTCCAATCGTCTAGTTCGAGTCAAACTACTGGAGCTCCTGAAGAAGGAGGATCACCATCTCCCTCTCTCTTTCTTTCTGAGACGGAAGACGAAGAAGTTCCTATAGATCTGGCGTCAGTGAGCCAGAGAAGCAGAGGGTCAGATTGAGGATTCCCTTTTGACTTCACAAAGTAGTAGAACGACTCTAATTCCCAGCTGGAATCGAAGAAGAAGAAGAAGACTCGGTGGCTGTGAGTAAAAAATGAAGGCGGCAACAAAGGGCTTGCGGCGATGAGATGCGGTAAGGAACGCCAGTCTCAGTAGGGTATTACATCCCTGTTAGCAAAATTAATCCTCACAGCTCTCAAGTCGAAGAGGGTGGTGTTATTTTAATTGCCAAACTTTGCGACAACGGCGACAACGCTTCTCTCTGCGGGTTGCTACGATTGGAATGGGTGGGTGGGGAAGATGATGGAAAACTAATAATATTATAATTATTTGTTTCTGAAAATTAAATTAATATTTTTTAAATATTAATTTCCTACATGGCACATATGTGGACAACACCTAAGAGCCACATAAGCAATAGTCAAATATAAGTTGACCGCCGTTAGGTAAACCGTCAATTCTAACGCTCAACAAAAATTTGCATAACACAAATGACGCAAACCCCTAATACGTTGGAATATTTTTGTGTTTATTGAAAGTACGTAATATAAATGACACCTTCGCTAAAGGATGGTATTTCCAGTGGCATTAGCCCTTTTTTTTTTTACAAAAGATAATCAATATATTGATCAGAAACATAGATAGTTACATCCTGGAATTTAACCAGGCAGAACATCAAAATAACGACTCGCAGTCGGGTACAAATCAAGGGCCTTTTCAGCCACCAAGTGGACTACCCTATTACTACGCCGACCAACAAACCGCACAGAGAAACCTCCTAGCGACTCCAAAACACCTACAATTTCTGCCAGAAGTGCCCCAATTTGGCTATCCCTAGTATCCGACTGGTTGATCTTATCAATAATCACCTTAGCATCTCCTTTAAAGCGCACCTTCACAAATCCGGAATTCCGACACCATAGAATAGCCTCCCGGAGAGCTAGAACTTTAGCAACCAACAGATCATCAATTCCCATGAATTGAATCCCTCTCGAATTAAGAATTCCCCCATACTGACTTTTGACCACCATACCTCCAGCCGAATGGGAAGCTGACTTGGTCGCCCCATCTCACATACAAATTATAGGGAAATCTGGGACACCCACCAACGGAGGGGACAGAGATCCCTGATATCTATCAACTGGCAAGCTAACCCATTCCTGGTACTACTGATGAAATTGCATCATTAATGCTGGAATCCCAAATTGTTTGCCCTCAAAGACAACCCAGTTCCGGGACCGCCAGATTCTCCAAAGGACAGCAGTAACCGTCATGAACAATTGGGGTTGTTGGATGATATTCATCAAATTTTTTAGGAACAAATGAAAGGTGTGATGAGGCAATCCCTGACCCAAGTACTCCAACCCCGCGTAATTCCATAGAGCTCTCGCCACAGGACATTCAAGAAACAAATGCTCCAAAGTTTCGGAATCAGCCCAACAAACTGGGCTTCGAGGATGGACCTGGACTTTATTTTTTAATAGTGCTTCCGTTGTTGGAAGAAGTCGATTTAAGATTTGCCAGAGAAAGACCCTCAGTTTTGGAGGAACAGGAGCTACCCATACCCGAATCCAGCTAGGCCTATCCATTCAACTGGCTAACGAGCGCCACCGGCCATCCTTTTTGTCCAAATGGGTAGCCAGATGGTATGCCGATTTCACAATGAATGACCCATCCAGTGTGCAATTCCAAATTAGCCGATCCTTTCACTACAAGAAATTAGGTATTTTGTGACGCACCCAATTTGTCATTTTAGTGTGCCATTTTGTCACTTTTTGTCTAATGTGACAAGTGTTATGACAAAATGGCTTTATCAGCTTTGCCCCGTCGTATTAGGTCTAATGTGACAAAGTTTAATTTTTCGGTTGTCATAATATTGTTCGGACAACTTGACAATATATCGTTGTCATATTTTATGTATTCAGTGACGGTCCAGTTTGTCATAATATGGATCTCCTTTGTCGTAATACCATTTATCTGACAATATATACGTCAGGATACTGAATTGTTTGTCATATTTGAAACATAAACTGATAATGGAACATTGTCATAATTTGTTCGTTCATGTAAGCAGAAAATGTGGCATGCGAAATAGACATAAAACATGTCATAAAACAAGCCGACAGTCACATTCATTTAGTAAACGTTGTTTGCTGAATATTCAGGGTCTTAGCTCACAGCTTACAAAGACGCAAAATAGATCATATTCCTACATCACATCACACACTCCTACATTCTGTTCGACACAACCATATTGTCCAAAATGGGTTTGCAGCCGACAACTACTTATAAATATATCCGTTCAGGAAAACATTCGCTAAGGACGACCTCCTCAAGTCATATGAACACACGGTTGTGCAGGGATGCGTCCACACCTGCACTTGCAATTTGAGAAGAAGCTAGATTGAGACTTCACATTCGTGCATAATTGTTCCTAACAGATTGACTAAGTTCTACAGATGAAATTCATGCATTCAATAATAGCTATGTACCTGGTGCAATCATTTCCTGCTGAGTTTGGCGAGGACGGATTCCATACTCTTTTGCATCTTCCCTTGTGCCAAGCGCATTTGTTCCATCTTTTCCCCTTGGTTAGCCAAACGTTCATGTTGCCTATCAAGCTCTACTTTATGTTTTTCAATCACCTCATCCCGAGCTTTAATCTTCTCATCCTGCTCTACCAGCTTGGCCTCCAACTCCTTGGTCTTACTTTCCGCCTCTGCCTTTGCTGCTGCCAGTTCTGCTTCCAGCTGAACTTCTCTCCTGTCTAGATAAATTTCGAATTAGAACCAGATAGACAGAAAAATCCAGCAGGAAGGGGGTGATGAAAACGGAAAATAAGAGATCGATTAATTGCTCACCAGATGACGATGATGCACCCGGCCTATTGATAAGCATGCCAAAAAAATGACAAACAATTAATGAATTGAACATAGGGGGATTCCGATTCACAATGCTAAAGCAAAACTGGCTCAGCACCTTCCTAAAGGAGGTAAACCACCAGCAACAGATGATGAAGAGGGCCTCCGCATGTTCCTCGAGTCTAAGTTAGATAAGGACTCATTTTCTGATCCTCTCCTTCCAGATCCCCTGCCTTGAGTTAGATTCTGTTTAAACATCAAAGTAAAGAATAATGGAAGCAGTTCATATATTTCAGCATAAAGCAACAGCAAACTTTTATCTAAAGAACAAAACCTGGGTCACATTTATCGAATAGGCAATTGATTTAAGATTATCAATGTCAATCTAGATAAAGCTCTCAGGCTGTCTTGCAACCCATCATCATATGGCAGGTACATGATAAATACCTCCTTCCAAAACAATTCCATCAACCCATCAGAAAGAAATCTAATGACAAACCTCATACTTCAAGAATCCTTAGAGTACATCGAGAAGCAAAGGACCACTATCTCCATTCCTGTTGAGATCGTACCCATTATTGCTACTGAATTCTTTCAATTCTGCTTTCCATGAATCCTTTTGCTGCAATACAAATTGCGAATGAAATTCACAGCTTATGAGTAAAAAAATAAAACTGAAAGAAAAAGGCAAGATCTCAAACATCTTGAAGACAAACTAAACGTTACTGCATTACCAAGTTGCACTCAGGTAGATATACTTTGAGCGTGTGATTTAGTTGTGCCCGGTCAAAGTACTCACACATTAGTGCAGTTAATAGCCTCCTTGCATATGAGAATGCAAGTCATATCATAAAAGACTATTAGCATCTATCCAACTCCTCGACACACCAGAAACGAAGGAATGGAACTTAAACTGTTCTGAGTGTAAAGCAAAAGAAATTTCAGCATTTTTCAATTTCATTAGGAAGCAATATCAAACTGAAAGTGCACCACTTCCCAACCCTGATTTCGTACCAAGGCAATCAATGAAACCTAGATAGTAACCTGATGGTGAAGCGTGAAGCTGCTTTGTGCGGTCATTGCAGCTACCCAGTAATGTAGGTGGTAAGCCTTCTTCATTTTCAACTACCGTATCCTCCTCTTCAATCGCTTCAAAGACACTTGCTCTGAGTTCTGCCTATAATGTAATCCCCATAATCACATGAGACCAAGGATGCAGAAATGGACTACAAGAAAACACATTACACAAGTGATAAGCCAACGTGAAAAGTCCTGGCTAAGAGTTACTTTCCATGACCAATTAACCTCCATCAAGGAAGGAAAAAACATATTCCCTAAACAACCAAGTAACAATTCCAGCACAACCACCAACAACGATGAGGCATTCAAAAACTGGGCCAAGACTACAAAAGGAAGCAATCAACAAAAACCCATGATTCGTCAACGTTTCCAGTCCCCCAGGATCAAACAAAAGATGCAAACTTTGAGTATTCTAAACAAGTCTAGACTCCCTATAGACGCAAGAGCTTCGATCTAAACCAATCAAGATTTCATTTACACCACCAACTCTCGCGGACCAAGTACGAGTTCACCAGAGTTAACCAAAATTGAAATTGGGGGAAGTCTGCTAGAACCCTAATACAGGAGAACTCGATGGCCAAACTTACTCGAATTATCGACGGGGGGAACTCGCGGCAGGGAAGGCAGGGCGTCGAAGCAAAGTTGCAACTTGGTTAATCGGAGACTGTTGATTCAGAGGGAAAGCCCTACCCCTGTGCAAGAGCGCCTATGAACGACAGAGATAGAAGAAGAAACATGAGGAACCCAACTCTGCTTTTATCGGAATCAGGTATCCACCATGCAAATCAAAACCAAAATCGCAGAGGAAAAGGAGTCCAGGGCGAGGAGAAGAACAAGACTTACCGGACAATCGATTCGCGGGGAGGAGAACGTACCCAGACGAATCGCTGAAGAGGATGTGGGGAGAGGGGTTTGGACTTTTCAATTCGCAGTGGAGATGGAATTGGGGTTTCCGTTCTTGGAGCTGAAGGGTTAGAGAGGCGGATTGGGGTTTTTTTCGTCTTGGATGGAAGGGGAATAATAGTCCCGCCGAATGGAATTGTGGACGAAAAATAGAAATTCTAAAAAAATGTAATGAAAATTTTTATTTCATTCTGCACGCCATATTATGACAAATTATATTATCATATCATAGGATTTTTTGAACATAATGTGACAAACCATAAGGTGACGGGGTGTTCTGTCATTCTGTAGCAGTATTTGCGCGGTAAATAAGACATATAGTGACAAAATTATAATGACAACAACAACTTTGTCACAATTTAACTCTATTATGACAACTTTGAATGACAAATATAACTTTTGTCACATATAGTTAATTAAATGTGACAAGTCTTTTTTTTTTGTCATAGTTAGTTGCCTAATATGACAAATATTTTATGACAACAAAATTAATTTGTCATTTAAGGTCAAATTTCTTGTAGTGTTTACATTACCTCGTGGTAGAGGAATTTCCTTAATGACACGACATGTGGGAGGATCGAACCATTGGGCCATACCAACATCACACCAGCATCCTTCCTCCGCATTGATGACAGTAGCAACCGACAATTTCCCATCAGCAGGCAAGACACAGGGGTTAAACGTAGGGGCTAGAGGGTGCAAACGCGGGACCCAACTATTCTGAAGTAACGGGGTCGTCCGACCATTCCCAATTTGCTTTGAAGCTCCTGGCTCAATAATTGGCGACCAAAGAGGATGCTTTGCCAACCCTAGGAGGTACGGGAACGCGCCTTCGCCTCAAGGAAACTTCCCCGCGGAAAGTACTTCCCTATATAAACCTGTGCAAGGTTATAGGTTATTATTCATTAGTGGCTCCCACACTCCTCCAAGTGCAAGTGGGGAAGTTCCAAGTCCTTCTTTATCCCACTCTCAATTCTACAACCTTTGTGTTTAGCTATTGTTCGCTAGGTTTACATCTATTGTCCATTGTGTTTCCCATAATAATTATTGCCTACTAGGTTTCCACCTCCCTATCCAGTAGGTTTTCGTCTATGGCTTTTTGCACAAATCATCGCATTTGCCCATCATTTCGCAGCCCATCTCGAAATACTGTCGACGGAATCCTAAGTTATTCCCCGTCACCGTTTCCCAAGGCCGCTACCGAAAATCCATACCAGATCTACTCAATGTTGGCGAGTTTTGTGTCGGTACCGAGTTTCGTCCGCTTTAGTGTTTTTTTCTGTAACTTTTTCCTTTTTGTAGAGCATGATCACAATTAAACCCAAATCCATGGGTATCCAACCTAATTCGATCCAGTCAAAGCAACTTGAAACCAACTTTAGTATTTATAAATTTCTCATTTTTTTCTTTTGGTTGCGAAGACAATTGAACTCGAATCTAAGGTATTGACGATTGTTGGATTGTGAGCAAACTTTATGCGCTTTTGTAGTTGGCAGTTGGAACAAGTGTTACTATGTTAAAAAAATGGTCAAAGGCAGTTGAACACGTTGTTGATATGTTTTAGATCGAAAGTGGGTTTTGTACACTTTAATGTTTTTTATTTCTCATTTTCCTTTTCGTATCGAGAGCAAGTTTTATTCGCTTTTGTAATTGGCAGGTTGGGTAAATTGTGAATTTGTTAAAACTGGGTCAACCCGGTCAAAGCAAGTGGAACGCAATGTTGAGAGTTTGGGGTCGTGAGTGAGTTTTATCTGCTTTAGTATTTTTTTTTTATCTTTTTCCTTTTGGTTGAGAATGACAATTGACTCCAAACGCATGGGTATCCAACCTAATTCGACTCGACCAAAGCGACTTGAACCCGATTTTACAGGTTTTCGGCGCGAGCGAATTTTATCAGTTTTTATAATTTGCGGGTTGTGTCAGGTGTGAATTTTCCCAAAACTTGGCACAACCAGGTCAAAGCGAGTTGCCCCTGGTGTTGACGAGTTTTGAGTCAGTAGCGAGTTTTAGCTTTAGTATTTTTCATTTCGCTTTTTCCTTTTGTTTGAGTAAGACAATTGAACTCAAATCCATGAGTATCCAACCTAATTTGACCTAATTAATGCAAGTTGAACCTCCTTAAACCTGCAATCCGTCCAAAAATTCATAAATGAGAACCACGATTACCTCAAACACAAAAAAAGGCAAAAGAGTACAACTATGTTTGTCCCGAATTTTAGAATTTTATGTTTCAAAAGTTGAAGCCGAGCCAAACACCTCTAAAGTTTCACTTTTTTAAAAAGTTTAAGTTTTTTGTAACTTAAAAGCAGAAGCTCCGATTTGAAAATACAAAATTGTCACCATATATTATTCTTTCTTCTAGAAAACTTAATTTTTTTTCATTTATATCATTATAAAAAAATAAACTATTATTTAATATGAAATAAATCTAACGTGATCCATTTTAAATACTTTTTTGTTTTTAGAATTTATATTCATATTTTATGTTAGAAATATTTGTTTTACTCATTTTACATTATCTCTTATATTAGAAAGTAATTCTGATTGTTTTTTAGCTAAACACATAACTTTTTTTTTTAATAGTTCTTGAAAAAAAAATCCCGAGAAGCTGCTCTATTTTGCAAAAGTAACAACAGAATCAACTACTAGCAAACAATAGTGTCGTGAAATAAGTTTAAACATAGATAATCTATTCGACGATCCTTCTACCTTATACAAGTTCATCGACCATATGCTATTGTAAATAACAAACCTATGAAAAGAATGAAATAATGTCATTTGGTTTTGGTGATAGTTTGGTTGGGATAGTTACAATACACGCATTGTCCACAATGCATCGTCTTTTTTAATTTTATGCACAAAAAATACATGCATTGTTTGCTTGATTTGACACAAACTATCACTCAAAATGAGTGATAGTTAAATCTCAAGTTTTGGCTGAGATTGTTTGGCAGAGATTGTTAGGTTTTGTTTTTTTTTTCCAACAAAAGGCAAAAGTGACATTTCATCCAAAAAGTAATATAACTTATTACAATATTTGAATCATTATCACATAAACCAAACGATGCAAACTACAATACACCAATTTTCTTATATACATGCATTGATAACAATGCATCAATTTAACTATCACCAAAACCAAACGACCCCAAAATTACTTTCACTTTTGGGTCAACATTAAAACTATTTCTTTTTAAGTTTTTTATTTTTCTGATACTCGAATCGATAGCGAGCAAGCTTTTGCTAGTAAGACACAAAGTCAGGTAATCGGCAAATACAAATGAACCACGACAACAACTCAAACATTTGAATTCGGACTTTTAATGCTACAACTCCAGCAACCCAGGTTTGAATCCCTGTTCCAACAGAGACATGCAAGCCTTCTTGTATAGTTTGGTATGTTTGCTTGGGCTTGAACAGGATTGCACAATATTCATCTACAAAGAATTCAACGGTAGTGAACATTGAGAGCATTGAAATAATTTTGTAAATAGAACACCAAATTGATTCCAAATTTGAAAAATGAATATTCAACTAGCTAGTCATATGTGGTGTGGTTGTATGTGAGCAACCTTTTCTTTTTCTGGTTTATCAAGAGAGCCAAACAGACAAGTTGCTGTCCAATCCATCGGCAGACAGACGCGTTTACATATTCAGCTGGAAAGACGACATTTGTAAGCTTACTACCGATTCACTGCACGATTGCTGGCCACTGCTATACCTAATGGATACCGGGAGGTCACCGGTCATACACACCGCCGGCACAATCTCACAAATAAAATAAAAATGCCGGCTGCCGGCGGGAGAGAACTACCTGGACTCTCTTGGACAGGCATAGATTTGTCTAAAGAAGTGAAGAATGTCTGAACGTAATTTTTACAACACCACCCACCTGTCATTCCATGATTTCACTTTACGTGCTTTTGACTAGGTATATTTTGAATTAATGTTGTATTAAATATATTTTAATGTGTGAAATGTATTTCTTAAAGTATTATTTATTTAAATAAATATGTGATGAAAATCATGTCAACAAGTTTTCTTTAGAGAAACAATATAATATATGAGACTCACTTTTCTAAAAAAGTGTTTCCAATTACATATGTTGCCAAGCATTATTTGAGATTGCATCATTTTGATGCAATTGAAAACGGTATGTTTAATTGTAATTGCACAGCGGAACAAATACATCAAAAGTGCAGAAAAAATAATGTATTTGTGAACGTCATACTTTAGACACCGGTCGAACACTCCATATTAGAATGATATAGTCTTCTTTAGGTGAAGCTTGCACAATTTTGTTATTGACAAATGACAAGGGTTCTAAACAAAAAAAATCTCATACTAATGAAGTCAGATAAACACTTATACACAGGGAAACTTTCCCTTATTTTCCCAACATATTAGCAACTCAGAAAATGTAATTGCAAATTTCACCCTCCAAATTACATGAAATCAAACACTTCGGAATTAACTTACCAATTGCATAAACAATTTTAAAAAATTAAATTTATTAACTTGGAAATTCTCGACATCATAATCAAATTGAAAATGTTGAAAACCCATAAAAAAGTGAAAAATGCCCCCTTAATATAATTTCTTCTAATATTTGCGAGCTAAATATTTTCTAATTTATGTTCCATCCTAGATAGTTTGGTATTATAACTCTAAATTGAACCAGCCCAAGTGAAAAAGAAGAACAATAGTTCTTGAGGTGAACGCTACTTATTCATTCTGAGATTATAACATTCATATTCGTCACATCAAGTTAAAAAAAAATATGAGAAAGAATTCCTTAATGGAGTATGGATAACATTTGAGTGATATTGTCATTCGAGGGCAAATCCGATTTTCAGAGATCCCACGGATTAGTGCCACCCAAGGGTTCACTTGAGTGATATTATCCTCGTGTAAATTCCGGGAATGTTGACGCGATACAACCTGATCGCTAATGGTCAGGAATGGGCTAATGGAAGGCTAGCACGAAGACCTGACCATCCAGCAAGCAGGGTGAAAAAACTCCTCTCATCTAAGATGCTACTATAAGAACCCCACAGTCATCCTAGTCACTCCACATATAGTTATAGCGCTATTTGAACATGAGACCTTAAAGTCGCCTACACATAAAGTAGACCGACCAGCTACTTTCATTAGCAAACCCAATTACATCAAGGTATTTGGACCTGCCTTCATTCTGCTTCTTTTGCTGAAAGAAACACAACATATTGTGTTTCAATCGATGAATTAGCAATGTCAAGTTTTCGGTATGGCTTCGCAACCATTTCATTGATTCCGATGAAGCTAAAAGACGACGGAGAAAACCCTGAAAGGCTAAAACCACTGGAGAGAAACAGAATGGTTTTGGTAACTCCTCCATCGGCATCATCAGCCGTTCTTATCCATGGATTCTACAGCAAGGTAAATCGATAACATATAAAAATTAGAAGTTGGTGCCGGCCATAAGTTTGATCTCATTGGCTCTAACTGCAAACAAGTGACACCTAAGCATCACAGACGGCCTGCTAAATTGTTCCTCCTTGGTCCTATTATGGCCCGGTCTACACACAATATAAGCAACTTCACATCATTGTTATCAGACCAATGAACTTGGTCATCACTTCCCCAAAACTTCCTTCCTCTTCCTTTTTCTCTGGTCTAAACTCCTAGAATCTAGCTAGGAGCTGCATAGGGGAAGTAACAATGAGTACAGAGCAGAAAGGTGGAATGTTCAGGTTTGCAGATGGCAAAGACAAGCTGCTGATGACTTTTGGGGTTCTGGGTTGCATTGGAGATGGGATGCAGTACGCTCTAACCATGTTTGTTCTCAGCGATGTTATCAATGATTTCGGTAATCCGAACATCGTTCTCAATCATGCTACTGTGAATAAGGTACTGTGAATGAATGATCTTGTCCTGGTGTGTCATGGTCATGGCTTCATGAGCTGATCTGATTTTTCTCTTCATTGTGGTTTTCACTTTTCAGTATTCTCTCAGGCTGCTCTATGTAGCACTATTTGTTGGCCTTGCTGCTTTTGTTGGTAAGTTTACTGATGAATCCGAATGCTTCTTTAGATTAAGCAGGTAATTGCTTGTTTTCCAAGAAAACACACTAACGTAGTGTTGATTGGAATGACAACAGAAGGAATGTGTTGGACCAGAACTGCGGAGAGGCAGACTTCCAAGATGAGAACACAGTACCTGAAGGCCGTTTTGAGACAAGACGTCGGTTTCTTCGACACCCAGGAAGGCGGTTCGACCACGTTCCAAGTCGTCACAACCATATCCGGTGATGCCAATTCGATTCAAGTTGCAATATGTGACAAGGTGATTGATCACATATATAGTTTGCACTTTTGTTACTTCAATTGGAGACTCAGAATCTTAATTTCCTCTACACCTGCAGATTCCCAACTGCCTGATGTACATAGCAACCTTCCTCTCCTGCCTCATTTTCGCCTTCGTTCTCTCTTGGAAGCTGGCACTGGCTGCTCTGCCACTGACCTTCTTGTTCATCGTCCCGGGGCTCGTATTCGGGAAGATGATGTTGGATGTGATAATGAAGATGATTGCTTCGTATGGTGTTGCTGGAGGGATTGCAGAACAAGCCATCTCTTCGATCCGCACGGTGTATTCGTACGTCGGGGAGCAGAAGACCTTGGAGAGTTTCAGCAAGTCGCTTGACACTACCCTGGAGTTGGGGATCAAACAAGGCTTTGCAAAGGGTTTGTTGATGGGAAGCATGGGAATGATCTATGTTGGCTGGGCTTTCCAAGCTTGGGTTGGCACGATTCTCGTCACGGAGAAGAACGAGAAGGGTGGCTCCATTTTTGTAGCTGGAATCAATGTCATCATGGGAGGATTGTAAGTCATGATGGTTAGACAACCTCTCAGCTAATTTTCTCTATGGTCACTTCGTTTCTCGCTTGTTGACATTTCTTGCATTTTTCAGGAGTGTACTGGGTTGCCTTCCTAATCTGTCATCCATCACGGAAGCAACACTTGCAGCGACTCGAATCTCCGAAATGATCGATCGAGCTCCCGACATAGACACGGAGGAGAAGAAGGGGAAAGCTCTGTCACACATCCGCGGAGAGATTGTGTTCAACGACGTCCATTTCTGCTACCCATCAAGGCCTGACACCCCAATCTTTCAAGGGTTGAATCTCAGGATTCCTCCCGGCAAGACGATTGGCCTCGTTGGCGGCAGCGGTTCAGGAAAATCTACCACCATTTCCTTGCTGCAGAGGTTTTACGACCCGATTCAGGGCGACATCCTCCTCGACGGGCACAAGATCAAGAAGCTCCAGCTGAAATGGTTGAGAGCTCAAATGGGCCTGGTGAATCAGGAGCCGGTCCTCTTCGCGACATCGATAAAGGAGAACATCATGTTCGGAATGGAAGGATCCACCATGGATGACGTCATGAACGCTGCTCGAGCTGCAAATGCGCACGATTTCATCGTTAAACTGCCCGATGGATACGAAACTCAGGTAATTGAATTCATAATTCATCAGACCATACATCCAATTGTGTCACAATGTTTCCATCCTTTCCTTTTTTCATCTCTTATTGAGATCATTCCCTCCTTCATTTCTCTCTCAGGTTGGCCAATTCGGATTCCAAATGTCTGGAGGGCAGAAGCAGAGGATCGCCATAGCCAGAGCTCTCATCAGAGAGCCGAAAATCCTGCTCCTCGACGAAGCGACAAGCGCCCTAGACACGCAGTCAGAAAGAGTTGTCCAGTCTGCAATCGACCAGGCGTCCAAGGGGAGGACGACCATCATCATCGCTCATCGCCTCTCCACCATCCGAACGGCCAACCTCATCGTGGTCTTCCATGAAGGCAAGGTGGTCGAATCCGGTACCCACGAGGAGCTTATGTCGAAATCTGACGATGGAGAGTACTCAAAGATGGTGAAACTGCAGCAGGCAGCAGCAGAGAACGAAGCATTCGACGAGTTCGCTCGTAAAGTTGACAGCAAGCGTCGCCACAGGAAAAGCCCAGGACCGAGTCCCCGAATCGGAAGTGCAAGGTCGACTGCACCGAGTCCACTATCAAGTGCACCGGGGACTCCCAGGTTTAGCCCTGCTAGCCCGGCGAGCCCCTTCAGCCCTGCAATGTCTGTGGGCACTCCCTATGCGTATTCGATCTACGATCCTGATGACAGCGACAATGAAGATTACTATGATCAATTTGGTTCCTCTGCTCCATCACAGTGGAGGTTGTTGAAAATGAATGCACCCGAATGGGGGACAGCTCTGGTCGGATGCTTGGCATCGATTGGGTCCGGTGCGGTCCAACCCATCAACGCTTACTGCGTCGGTTCGCTTATATCGAACTACTTTCGAACCGATGAAGATGTCATGAAGCAGAAATCGAGGAACCTGTCTTTCATCTTCCTAGGCATTGCAGCTCTCAACTTCGTCTCGGGCCTCGTGCAGCACTACTGCTTCGCGGTGATGGGCGAAAAGCTGACAAAAAGGGTTCGTGAGAAGCTGCTGGAGAAGCTCATGACCTTCGAGATAGGATGGTTCGACGAGGACGAGAACTCGAGCGCTGCGGTCTGCTCGAGGTTGGCTACTGAGGCTAGCATGGTGCGGTCCTTGGTTGGGGATCGGATATCACTTCTGGTGCAAGCATTCTTCGGGTCCATTTTCGCCTACGCGCTTGCTCTGGCTCTGTCGTGGAAGCTAGCTCTCGTCCTGATCGCGGTCCAGCCTGTCGTTGTAGGCGGGTACTATTCGAAGAGTGTGTTGATGAAGAGCCTAGGGGAGAAGTCTCAAAAGGCACAGAAAGAAGGAAGCCAGCTAGCTAGTGAGGCAGTAATCAATCACAGGACGATCACTGCCTTCTCTTCTCAGAGGAAGATAGTGGGGCTGTTTAAAGGTACATTGAGAGGACCAAAGAAGGAGAGCATGAAGCAATCATGGTTGTCTGGTTTTGGTCTCTTCAGCGCGCAGTTCTTCAACACTGCATCTACTGCATTGGCATTTTGGTACGGTGGGAGGCTGTTGATTGATGGGTCTGTAACGCCAGAGCATCTTTTCCAAGCTTTCTTGATCCTGCTCTTCTCAGCATACATAATTGCAGAAGCTGGAAGCATGACGAACGATCTTTCTCGAGGTGGGAATGCGGTTCAATCGGTGCTGTCGATCTTGGACAGGAAGACCGAGATCGATCCTGACAGCCAGTATGTGTCGGAGAGCAAAAAAGACATTAGGGGGAAAGTTGAGCTGAAAGAAGTCTTCTTTGCATACCCATCAAGGCCTGATCAGATGATCTTCAAGGGTTTGAACCTGAAGATGGATGCAGGGAAGACGATTGCCTTGGTTGGGCCGAGTGGGTCTGGGAAATCCACGGTGCTTGCCTTAATCGAGAGGTTTTACGACCCATCGAAAGGGGCAGTGTTCATTGATGGTCAGGATGTGAAGAACTACAACCTGAGATGGCTCAGGAGTCACATAGCAATGGTCAGTCAGGAGCCGACATTGTTTGCTGGTACGATTGCTGAGAACATTGCATACGGTAGGGAAAATGCTCGAGAATCCGAGATCAAGAAGGCTGCTGTTCTTGCCAATGCCCATGAATTCATCAGGTAATAACCTTACTACTACACCCTTTTCTTCATCAGCAATCAAGCAAGCACTATTTGTGATTGACAACACAAAAACTTACTGCTCTTTTCCCCCACTTTGACAGTGGAATGAAAGATGGCTATGATACATACTGTGGAGAAAGAGGTGTGCAGTTATCAGGAGGGCAGAAGCAAAGAGTGGCCATTGCAAGGGCAATCCTGAAGAACCCATCAATCCTGCTGCTCGACGAAGCGACGAGTGCACTTGACAGTGTCTCAGAGAAGCTGGTTCAGGAGGCACTGGATAAGATGATGGTTGGCAGGACCAGTGTTGTGGTTGCTCACCGGCTATCTACAGTACAGAAATCGGACTGCATTGCGGTGATCAAGAACGGGCAGGTCGCGGAGAAAGGGTCGCATAACGAGCTCGTCTCGTTCGGGAAGAGAGGGGTTTACTACTCTCTAATCAAGCCACAGGCTGGGAGTAGCTCCCCTTTCAGGTGAAAATAGAAGGATTGCAAAAGGATCAGGCATTTAGGTATTTTGGAGATAATAAACTAGCTAAGAATAATGAGAAAGAGAAGACTCATCTGGGGACGTCTTGCTTCTCAGTTTGAATGTGTGAGAAGAAACGTTTCTAGGTTTGCATGTACAACTTGTTACTTCATGTGGGTCAAATTCGTCCTACCATTTCTGTTTGTAAGGTATTGAAAAATATAAACAACTTTTGATTTTGGTGTTTATAAAGTTGCACTTGCCTACATTCTCATATATCCATGTTGGCAACAACAAGGAATTGAGATTCATACTTCATATCCTATTTTCTTCTCCATCACTAAATGGATGCTTTAATCCAGACTTTTATCTTTTGCTCTATCATATATGAAAGATTTTTCTCGCTCAAAATTGTAAGTGTGTCAATTATGAGGGTTATCTTTTCGTCGGTAACTAGGTGGTTACATTGGAGTTTTTTCCAGAAATAGCACCTTTAAAAAAAAATTACAAAAATAGAACCCTTCCAAAAATATTTACAAAACTAGCACCCTTTTTTATGGACCGCACTCTAGAGGTGCGTTTTACATATAAACCGCATCCTCCAGGTGCGTTTTATATATAAACCGCACCTGTAGGGTCCATATTCCTGGGCCGAAATCGCATCTTGGCCGCGGTTTGGACTCTGCCCCTACACAAACCGCACGGCCGAGGTGCGTTTCTGGCATGACCTAGCCAAACCGCATCCTAGAGATGCGGTTTGTTCCTCGAAAAGCAAACCGCATCTCTAAGGTGCGGTTTAGCTACACAGAACGCACCCCCCAAGTGCGGTCTGTGTGTCAATAATATTCCGACACCCGACAAACCCCATGCAGAGAATTATGGACGTAGGCCTGCATGGCAGACTAAAATCGCACCTTAGAGGTGCGGTTTTCCTGATTTTTTTCCCTATATAAGACTGCCGAAAAACCTCTACTCTTCACACCTCTCCTTCTCTCTTTTCATTTTTCTGTTGTATTCCTATATTTCTTTAGTGTTTTTGCCATTAACATTAACTCGTAAGTTTATTTTGTGTTACTTTTTATTGTTATTTGTGATTTTTACGAGTTTAACTGAACTACTGTTTTTTTGTGTGCAGATGGCATTCCGTCAGTTCACGCTTGGCTTAAGGTGGAATGGTTACACAGAAGAGACCGGAAAGGGGGCCACCTACGTCGGTGGCAATTTTCAGAAAATAACGGTCGGTACCAGACCGAAGTTTGAAGACCTCCATCAAATATGCACTAACGTTACTTGCATGGATGACACGAGAAGAGTAGATCGAATGGTGTACCGATATCCAAACAGAGAAAGTGGGTCATTGTGGCATGAGGAATATACCATAACCACTCAAGATGAAGTAGATTCCATGCTCGAATTCTTGAGGTCCAACAAATTGTCCAAAGCCGAGATGTTCGTTTACACCGAGCCAGCCGTTGGTGTTGGAGGTCATTCTGGACACGGTCAAACATCTGGTATCCATGGTGGAGGTGAATTTTATGGCGATCATCCCTACTAAAGTTACCATGATCCTCATTCCTATTTCCAGTACCAAGATGGAGGGCAAGGTGAAGGCCATCATCAATCTTTCCCGTCATATGAAGAAGAAGTTCAACCGGACCTCGGCAACCAACCCCAGTACAACTTCCAATCAGGCAGCGGTAGTTTTCACAACTACCATTATGGAGCTGATGAAGGTGTCTTTCATGAGCTGGATCAGATGGAAGCTCCCATGGCAGCACCAGTCAGCGACCCCTCCGATGAAGAAGGAGAGAACAATGTCAGTGCAGACAGCTCCGACCCTCTTGAAGGTGCTGATGATTCAGGACCAGAGTCAGATTCAGATAATGATCATGATGTGGCTCCTGATCGTGTACCAGTCCCCTACTACAATCACATTCCAGACGACAATTGGATGGTCGACAGCGACATGGAGCCCCCAGAGGTCCCAATATGGGGCCCACTCACTAGGTTTACGAAGGGCCAACAATTTGGCTCGAAGAAGGAGGTGCGGCACGCCATTGAGACTGAAGCAATGACTCGCCATTTTGAATGGCACACAACTCATTCCAACACCAAAAGGCTCATAGTCAGATGCCGTAATCATCACGAGGGGTGCAATGTTAGGATTCAGGCCATCAACAGCAAGAGACACGGCCACTGGGTCATATCCCGTGCGGTGAACACACACACATGTGTGTCATCCATAACTTCCCAAGGCCATCGACGGTTGAAATCCATGGTGGTTGCTGCGGCTATCAGGCATCTGATTGAGGCTGAACCGGATCTGAAGGTGAAAGTCATAATCGCTGACATTGCAAGTCGTTATGGTTATATGATTAACTATAAGAAGGCGTGGCATGGAAAGCAGAAAGCTCTGGCAGCCGTCTTCGGTGATTGGGAAGAATCATATGCATTCCTTCCCAGGTTAATACTGGCATTGGAGGCGTCTAACCCTGGCACTGTGTTCACCCCTCGATACCAAGATGAAGAGATACAACCCCCAGAGCCAGGTAACGAACGCCATTTCCGCCGACTGTTTTGGGCATTCAAGCCATCTATTGATGGTTTTGGCTTTTGTATCCCTGTGATTACTATGGATGGTACGTTCCTTACCGGCAAGTACAAGGGCACTCTCCTGATTGCCAGTGGGGCGGATACAAATAGACAAGTCTTTCCTTTAGCCTTCACCATTGTAGAGGGAGAGAATGCTGATAGCTATGGATGGTTTTTTCGACAACTTCAGCTCCACGTCACTAGGAGGACGAACCTGACAATAATCTCTGATTGGCACGCCGGCATTAGAGCTGCCATCTTAGGCCTGGATCCAACCTGGAATTGGTCCCAAAGGTGGTGCATACGACACTTCAAGAGCAACTGGAACCATCATTTCAAGCGGAAGAAGCTAGCTGATAATTTGTGGTGGATTGGTAACCTCTCTATTGCTCTCAATTAACAATATCTTGTAATATGGGGAGTGGTGCACTTGTTATACTCTTTCTAAAGAGATGCATGCCTAAGGAGATGGGGTTTTTAGCGATTATCATGGTCCTCCCATTTCCTGGGAAAATCGGGTTTTAAGCGATCTTCGGATCCCCCCTTTTTCTGTCAAACAGGCTGTGTTTCTAAGGAGATGTATACCTCTCATAAGAGTCTAATGAGAGTATGACCGTGTTGTTTGAAATTGTACTAAACTGACAATCATTGACTAACGTACTACTTTTCTGTGTGTTATTCAGCGATTGCATACCAGGAGAAAAAATTTCAGGAGAAGTTGCAGAAGATGCGCGAGTTATGCCCTGAAGGGGCACAGTGGCTGGATGGACACGATCTATCCATGTGGACATTTCATAAAGATGGAGGGAAAATATGGGGTATTGCCACAACCAACTCAAGTGAGAGTATCAACTCTGTCTACAAGGCCGTTCGTGCACTGCCGATCTCTGCCATTGTGGAGATGACTTTTTGGAAAACGAATGCATGGCTCGTGAACCGACTCCACTGGGCAAGGACGAACGAGGCACATGGAAAGGTCCATGCCTATAAAGTCACTGAAATAATGGATAATGACAATCGCAAGAGCAGTCGACATAGTGTAACCGTTATGAATTGGGCAACTGGTGAGTATAGCGTGATGACCGGACATCGGGAGGATGGTAGACGGGGGGCCACCGTCATGAAGTTTTGGTCAATTTCAGGACCAAAGTTGGTGAGTGCTCTTGCCAGAAGTATCAGGGGAGAGGGTGGCCTTGTTCTCATGCAATGGCCGTAATTAAAAACAGGAGCAAAGACCCCCGTCACTTCGTTAGTCCATTCTTCAATATCGACTCACTCAAAAACACCTATGGACGGAGTTTCCGTGCATTGCTTGATGAAGCTTATTGGCCGCTGTACGAAGGGAAATTGATCGTCCCGCCATTCGGACAGAGGCGTGAACCGGGTCGCCCGAGGAAAAAGAGAATTCCAAATGAAATGGATCAAAGTGGAAGACCGCCACGAGGCCCAAGACGATGTTCAATATGCAAAGTTCCAGGACATGATAAACGAAGGTGTCCAGGACCGATTGGTCCGCAAAATCCGGGTGCTGATGTGCCGGACTCAGCTAATGCGACATAATTTCCGATTATCATTCTTCTTGCTAGTTGTAACTCTTACGTTGCATTTACTTGTGTATTGTTGATTGAACGAATTGGGATTATATCAAGTGAAGAGGAATCGTCATAATAACAAATTGTTCAACACTCAATTAAGTAAAATAAAATAAAGGGAATAGTCCCAAGTACATAGAAATAAAAAACAACCCAAAATACATTTCAAGGAAGTCCACGAGCTTCACCGGAACCCACGGTTTTCTTGCTCCTTGTACGTTTGCCGACGGGAGTAACAATAGGTGGTGGGGGTGGCAAGTTTCGAACGGCCGAGGTAGTGTGGCGCTCGTCGGTGCTATGTCGGCGGGGAAGCGGCACTTCCGGGGTCGACCGTGCGACATCGGCGCTCATACGGTGAGGAGTTGGAGGCCACTGATGATGAGGGCGAGTCCATGGGTTGAACTCGTGCGGGCGGATATCTACGATGATCCCGGCCCTGAGCTCTGATACAGCCAAGTAGACTGTTTGCCATCCTCCTAATGAAGCTGACATCTTCATTGCCCAACTCAGTTCTTCCGGTAGTCATATCTTTGATCCGCTCGATCCCATCACCCTAAATCACACAAAAAAAAAACTTAGAAAGAGATTTAGGAACCAAGTAATAAATCATACTATGTTGAGACTGATTATACTTACTAATGCACCATCGGCATCGGCCGCACCCTCCGGAGTCATGTAACGAACCGATGTTTGCCGATATCGATCCAAGTATGGGTCATGATACCCCATTCGGCCCACTTGATTTGGAGTGACAATATCCTGTAATTGTCGGTTCTCCCAAATCGCGATGAATTCCTTCAACTTTGTGGGCCAATCGCGAGTACC